ATTTGTATTCACAGACATTTTGGTTTATTTTTGGTTTTTAACTTAAATTGGATTCTCCTTTGATTGGCTTTTCCTTTAGTGTAGTTCCTCCCTTTGCTGATTTTTGTTTCCTCTTCATGGAATGTATTGCTGAGAATATTCTGTAATGCCAGCTTTCTTGTTGAAAATTCTTTTAATTTTTGTTTATCTCAAAGGTTTCTTTTTTTTTTTTTTGTCAACAGATCTGAGGGTTAATTTTGCTGGACATATGATTCTTGGTTGGCTTCCATTTTCTTTCAGAGCTTGGTATATGTTGTTCAAGGATTTCCTAGCTATGATGGTCTGGTTCGAGAAATCTGAGATCCAGATTGGTTTTCCCCTATATGTAATCTGAAACTTTTTTATTGCGGCCTTGAAAATTCTATCCTTACTACGTACGGTATGCATTTTCATTAAAACTTGCCTTGGTGTGGATGTGTTGTAATTTTGTACATTTGGTGTCTTGTAAGCCTCTTACATTTGATTTTCCAACTCATTTTTCATGTTTGGAAATTTTCTGATATTATTTCGTTGAAGAGAATGTGCATTCCCTTGGATTGTATCTCTGTGCCTTCCTCTATCATGATAATTATTAGATTTGGTCTTTTCATGTTGTCCCTTAATTCTTGGAGATTCTGCTAGTGGTTTCTCACTTGAAAAGTTCTTGATACTTTTTATTGAAATTTTTATTTGGTTTCTTGTTTACTTTATTTCAAGGTTTTCTGTTTCCTTTTTTTTTTTTTTTTTCTTCTTCAGAGTTTCTGTCTCTTTCTTGAAGTAATATTTTGGTACTTTTATTTTTTCTCTCATCTCTTTGTTGGGTTGGCCAGTTGTTGCCTATATTAGCTTTATTCTTTTTTTTTTTAATGAAGTGTCTTTTATTTTTTAATTTTTTTTTTAAAGAGGGGGAGAGAGAGAGAGAATTTTTTAATATTTATTTTTTAGTTTTCGGCGGATACAACATCCTTGTTTGTATGTGGTGCTGAGGATCGATTGCGGACCGCACGCATGCCAGGCGAGCGCACTACCGCTTGAGCCACATCACCAGCCCCTATATTACCTTTCTTAATTAATGTTTTGCTTTGTTTATCATTTTAATTATGTACATTCTGAATTCCTTCTCTGACATTTTATCTACTGTGCTGTCAATGGAATCTATTATCAGTCAATGGAATCTGTTATCAGTTTGGTTTGTTTCTGGCACTTTCTTTACTTGTTTCTTCATATTGTCCGTGTGTCTTCCTTTCAAGTAGTGTTGATTCAGGGTATTGCAGTTTCTACCTTATAATCTTGTAGTGTTTCTGCAAGTTACCAGTACCTTGCTTTTAGGAACCTGGATGATGGACTTGTAGGTCCTGGCTCTTGTCACTAGATAGAAGCCAGTGGGAAAGGCCACCCCACACGTTGACTGTGTTCCTACTGCGTGGTGGGTCAGGGTTGTTCTGCTCCTACTGCTTGGCAGGCCAGGGTCGTGGTCATCTTCTGCCCCTCTTTTTCCACAACCCATGCTCTGTTTTGACAGGCTCACTGTCTTCCTTCACTTATATCTCTGCCCATTGCCAACCTCAAGCATACTTTAAAAATTTTTTTTAAATTTTTATTTGTTGGTGGACATTATTTATTCATATGTGGTGCTGAGAAGCAAATCCAGTGTCTCACACTTGATAGGCAAGCTCTCTATCACTGAGCTATAACCTTAGCCCCTCAAGCACACTTTCAGTCTATTTTTCTAGGATTCACCATAACAAACTCCTGTGTTCAACCTTCTTAGTTGTTATTATGTCATAATCATTCATATTCCCATTGAAAAACGTGTTTTCTTTTTGACATTCCATTTTACCTCCTCATGTGTAAAACCTTATTGATTCTTTTGACCTTGGACAAATGTCACCAGTTGAATAAAACTTTCCTTGGTCTCCCTTTATCCTTTGACTGAGTTAGTATTTCTCTTCTCTTTGTTTTCATTTTTATAATCTAATCGGTTACCCATTTTGCAGGTAGCTCACTGACTGCTTTTTCCACGATAATTGTTTGCATTATTGTCTGTCCTTCTCAGAATTCTGACTTTCTTGGAGTGTTGACCATCTCTTAATTCATCTTTGCCCTTCTAGTACTTATTGTAGGGGGTGTGAGCTACATAAATATTTGGTTTAATCTTCCTACAAAATTATTAGATAGAAAACTGACATATTTACACCTTGCTTCTTTTGACATAAAATTTTTGTTAATTATAAACCATATATTTCCTTATTTTTAACAAAAATTGGACAGAAGCTACACTGATAATTATAAACCATATATTTGCTTATTTTATCAGTGTAGCGTCTGTCCCCAGCTCCCTTAGTGATAAGTGACTTTTGTTATTTTCTTAAATATAAACAAATGATTAAAGTAATTAATACTTCTCTTATTTCACAGGTGCAATGCAAATCTCTTTTTCACTTCCTTGCTGTGGATAAGAATACAGTCAATTTAAGGGTTGAAATGTTATTCATATACAATAAAATTAACACTTCTAAATTATGCGATTTAGTTTTCTCTAGTACATTTACAAGGAGTATGAAACCTTTCTTGTTTCCAAAACATTTTTATTACTCATAAAAGAAATCCCTACCCATTAGGAGCTATGCGCATTTATTCTTTTTCCTACTTCCTGGCAACTATTGATTTATTGTCTGAATCTGGATTTCTCTATACTGGACATTTGTTATATATATAATCATTCAGTATGTGACCTTTTGTTTTTAGTTTCTTTCATTAATATGTTTTCAGGGTTCTTCTATGCTACAGTATGCATCACTACTTCAACACTGACCCTCTCCCACTTTTAATTTTTTTATTTATTTTTCAGTGCTGGGAATCAAAACCAGGGACTTGTATGCTCTCTTCCATGGAGCCACATCCTTAGTCCTATTTATTCCTTTTTATGACTGCATAAATTCCATTATATGAATGTACATTTTGTTATTCATTCAACTGATTGTGTACATTTGATTTGTTTTCTTCTACCATTTGGCCAATGTGAATAATACTGCTATTGCTTTTATTATGAATACAAGAAATTGCTAAGTATTATGGTAACTCATTGCCAAAATTTGAGGAACTGCCTACCTTTTCTTCAAAGCAGCTGCTCTGTGTTACCTTTCCATTCACTATCTGTGATTATTTTACATCCTCACCAGCACTTATTATCTTTCTCATGGAGGTGAAATGTGTATTCAGATCCTGGTCTTTTAGCTTTTGATATACTTATTTTAGGTCTAACCTGTATAATACTCCTAAAAATTTCTTTTTTCTCCATTTGTCTTGGGTTTAAAATTTGTTTTTGTTTTGTTTTTCTTTATAAAATACAATGCTGTCAGTGGGAAGAAGTATGGTGGTATTCCAGGTAATGGGAAATTCCTTCTTATGAGTCCTTGAAGACCCAATTCTATTGTAGAGTTCTTGGCCATGTACTTGCATTATATTCTTTTATTGTCCTATTACTTACATCTTGTGATGTTTATTTATTAGTCCAGTTGGCAAAAATTATAGTAGTGGAGAATAGGAAAAGCACCTCTGAGGATCCATCCAGGTTATTCCTAGGTTGTCTTAAGCAGTCCCTCTTGCCTGCTCGTCCTACCTGGCTAATTGCCTATGCTCCTGGGTCCTTTTTCCTTGACCTTCATTTTTCTCTTTGTTCCTTGAAATAAAATATATCAAATTGATAGGCATTTTGCATAATTTTCCATGCTCAGTTAATATCCTCATTCTTATTCTCCTTTTATTACTGAAAAAACTGGCTTAAAGATTATAAGCACATGGCTTTTCAGTGGAGTGTTTTTTTTTTTTAAATCTATATTTTTTACTAGGTACTATGGTGCATTCCTATAATCCCATCTGCTCAGGAAGCTGAGGCAGGAGGATGGCAAGTTCAAAGCCAGCCTCAGTAACTCAGTGAGACCCTATCTCTAAATAGTATTTAAAAGGGCTGTGGATGTGGCTCAGTAGTTAAGTACCCCTGGGTTCTATCCTCAGTTCCAACAACAACAACAACAGCATAAATCTTTTTACTTTAGTCTGGTAGAGTGGCTCTTTTTTTTTTTCTGAAATGTTTGTGTTGGGAGAGAATCTGAGCCATGTAAGTTAAAGCATTTAAATGAAGTTCCGTATTGGAATTTTGACTTTATCCATAACAAACAGGAGGACATTGAAATTTCATTCTTCTATATGGCTGAGTAAAACTCCATTTTGGCTAGGAGGTAAGGTAGGAGAATTACAAATTCAAGGTCAGCCTTGGCAACATAGTGAGAACCTGACTCAAAAGTATAAATTAAAAGCATTGGTGTTATAGCCTGATGGGAAAGCACCCCCAAGTTGTTTAATCCCTAATTTCGTTAAGTTTGTATGTTCCTTTTAGCACCTTTTTTTTTAAGCATATTTCCATTTTAGGTGAACAAACTGTTGTCCTGTCTTCAAGGACTTAAGCCTTAACAGACTAAAATAATTATTCAAACATGAAAAATATGCCCTAAAAGAGCAAAGCACAGAGCTCCAGAGTTTACTTTTTACCTTTACTTCAGTTTTCAGACAATAGTAAACATTCTGGATAGATTTAAGTACGATTGTTTTTAGGGTGGAATTAGATTGGATTGTTGTTTGGTAAAAACTCCTTCCTTTATACATATGTATTAGCAAGAACACTTAACATCACTAGTGCGGTGGCACATACCTGTAATCCCAGCAGCTTTAGAAGCTGAGGCAGGAGAATCACAAGCCAGCCTTAGCAACTTAGAGAGGCCCTAAGCAAGTCAGCCAGACCCTGTCTCTAAATAAAAAATTAAAAAGGGCTGGGGATGTGGCTCAATGGTTGAGTGCCTCCGAGTTCTATTCCTAGTTAACCCCCCAAACCCCCGCCAAAAAAAATACAACATGATCACAGAAAACTGCCAATGTTAATAAAATTTGCTCTTGTCTATTAAGATATTTTTTTTTTCTTACAGATATGCCAAGAATTTAACAGTACGTGGGCATGGGAGATGGAGAAGAAAGGATATCTTGAAATGAGTGTTGAATGTAAACTAGCACTCTTAAAGGTAATAAATGTATTATTTGTTACAATTATTTTTATTTAATTTAAAATTTCACTTTGACTCCCAGTTAAATTAAAAATGAACATAAAATAGACATTGTTGAACAAAAGATTAAAAAAATTTTTTTTTAGTTGTTCATAGACCTTTTTTTTCTTTTAAATTTATTTAAATGTGGTGCTGAGAATTGAACCCAGTGCCTCACACATGCCAGGCAAGTGCGCTGCCACTGAGCCCCAGCCCCAGCCCCAGCACCGAACAATAAATTTTTTGCTTCTTTATTTTTCTGTGACAAAACAGTCTGTTCTCTGAATTGCTGTTTTTAAAAATTGTCTTCAAAACATGTTTAATTTATTTCTGCTTGCAAGGAAAGTAATAGAATGGATAAGCAATTACCTTAAATTACTTTATTCACTGTTTTCAGCTTTCACATTCATTGCCACATATTGTAAACTGTGGATACTCTTTTACTGATTTACCAACATAGTAATCTGATATTGTTTTCCAGATGACTAAGGGCATATCACTGCGTGTTTAATAAAACCCTCACATATCCAGAAGTACTCGATTAAAATGAGTCATCTCAATGTAGGCTTATTTTCAGCGTTTTCTTTTTTTCCCCCCTGCCCACTTCTTAATTAGGCAGGAGGATAATATGTCATTATAATATGGGACGAATAATATTCTGTGTGAAAATATTAATGATGTCTTCATTAATTCTAAAATTTGCAGTGTTTGATAACTAGGCTCTATGTTCAAAGGACCTCACGATTTTATGATGATTTCTAATCTATAATGTCAGCATACATACATTTTTTTCAGAGATAGACTATAGCTATGGAGTGGCTATTATTTTGTTGTTATATATTAATGGCCTTTACAACCTACATGAAAATCTACAAGATGCATATAATGTTTCTGAGAAAACCAAATATCATACTAAACTCATATTTCAAAGTGAATTATCATGCAAGCTCATCTGTCCCCAGTTTAGTTTGTGGTCCCAAAGGAGTATATAAAGTTTCTCATTGGAGTGTTAGAATGGAGCCTAGAACTTCTGTTCATAACTTTTTAAAATTTCAGCTTCTGAAATAATTTTCTGTGCATTCCTAAAATGTATATAATTGTTGATAAAGAGGCAGGTGTATGATAAATATGAATACGTGAATGTAATGTCTATAATACACATATAATTATTGAGCTTGTGTTATAAATTTTTTTTTGACAATAAGAATTCTTGATCACATAATGTTTAGAGAGCACTTGCCTAGTATACTGGATCTCTGGGTTGAATCCCCAACATTGCAAAAAGAAACAACACATACACATACACACGGTAAAAAAAAATATATAGGCTTTTGGGCTAGCTTGCACAAGCAAAGGCAAAAAGGAATTTCATTTATTCCTGCCTAAGTAGAGCAACTCATAGAAGAAATCTGACTTTGATACATAATCCTATACAAAATATACAATAAAAAGTTGTACTTCTATTTTAGAAATGAGGAGTTTTCTCAAAAAATTAAAACAAACTGCCAAATGATTCAGCAGTCCCTCTACTGGGTTCATATTTAGTGGAGATAAAATCAGTTTTTTAAAAAAATAGTTTTTTAATTGTTCGTGGACCTTTATTTGCATATTTATATGTGGTGCTGGGAATTGAATGCAGTGCCTCACACACATGAGGCAAGTGCTCTACCCCTGAGCTACAACTCCAGCCTCAAAAAATCAGTTTTTGAAACACATATCTGTACTCCTGTGATCATAGCAGCAGTAATTGTGATATGGAATGAATCCAAGTGTCTATTTATATATGAAATGGATGGATAAAATATGTGAATATATGTGTACACATACACATATATACATAAAATGGAAGATTCTTCAGGCTTAAAGGAAATACTGTCATTTGTGACAACGTGAATGATCCTGGGACATATTGTGTTAAGTGAAATAAACCAGGCACAGAAAGAAATACCCCATGTTCTTACTTAAACATGGAATATAAAGACTCAAACCCACAGCAACAGAGAGTAGAATGGTGGTTATGTGGCTTGTAGTTATTGGGCAGATAGGAGAGAAATTGGTCAACCTTAAAAAAAATTCAGTTAGAAGAAAGGATTTAAAGAAATCTATTGTACAAGATAGTCTTGTTAAGAAAAATATATTACATACTTAAAAATTGCTAATAGATTTTAAGTGTTCTTACCACAAGAAATAAGTATGTGAAGTAATAAATGTTAAGTTGCTTGATTTAGCTATTCTTCATGGTTTACATACATTAAAACATCATATTGTATAGCATGTATATATGTAATTTTTATTTGCCTAATTAGTTAATAACTTAAACAATGATTGAAAGCAGTGAAAAGAAAAATTTATACCTGTGCGACAACTTGGGAGTTTTTAGTGCAAATAGATTTTTGCTTTAGAAACATAATTTGGTTTATGTCAGTGGTTATATATGTATTTATTTATTTATTTATTTATTGGTACTTGGGATATAATCTAGGGCACTTTACATCGGTGGTTGTTTTATACCTATGCAATGGTGTAGAATTAAAATGTAAGTTTAAAACTTAATCTCTTTAATTCTTTTAAACACATTTGGGAAGAGGATAGTGAAAAATGGATAAACTGTGTGTTCTGTCTGCTTTGCTTAAATCAATTATGTGGTTATATCATATTTCTTGTGATGGAGAAATATTATTATTATTTACAAACATTTTAAGACATTTTTGTTTTTTCAGTATCTCTGTGAGTGTCAGTTTGATGACAATCTTAAATTCAAGAATATTATTAATGAGGAAGATGCTGATACTATGCGTCTCCAGCCAATTGGGCGAGACAAAGATGGCCTTATGTACTGGTACCAGTTGGATCAAGATCATAATGTCAGAATGTACATAGAAGAACAAGATGATCAAGATGGCTCTTCATGGAAATGCATTGTCAGGTATTCTTTATTGGAATCTCTACATTTATTTACATGATTCTTACACTTTCATCTCCTCTCTATTAATGTGATCTTTGAGGCAAGGGTGGACCTTTTAATGGGATTGTTGAATTTCCAGGGCCTAACCTAGAGCCCAAAACAGTATCTTTATTAGGTACTTAATTAGTTATTTGTCAAATAAATTTGGCAGTTCAATCCAAATCAGGACATAAGTCTGTATTTCAAAAAGCCATAATCTGAATAATAATATTGTGTAATAGTATTTGTAAAAGTATATATTCTTAGACAAAAACACCAGAAAAGCATTTTTTTTTTTGTTCTTGACTTATGTATCATGTTCTATTAGGCATTGCTTATTTATTTCTGTTTTAAGTTGCCCAACATATTTTATCACCATATGTTTTCTTTTTTTAATGCTTTTTTTTAAAAAAGAGAGAATTTTTTAAATATTTACTTTTTAGTTTTCGGTAGACATAACATCTTTATTTTATTTTTATGTGGTGCTGAGGATCGAACCCATCGCCCCGCGCATGCCAGGCGAGTGTGTTACCGCTTGAGCCACATCCCCAGCCCCACCATATGTTTTCTAATTTGCTGTGTACAAATTTATTTATTGGTTTCTAAGGAACATTATGATTTCTTGTTCTAGTCCTTTTAAAATGTTTTGATATTTCATTTTTTTGACAAAGATATTTAAACAGATATAGTATACAATGTTGAAATATAACTTTTTTTAAAATCGTAAGATACAGCAAAGGGGAAAGAGGGGAAGGGAGGGGGCATGGAGTTAGAAAAGACTTTGGAATGAGATGGACATCATTACCCTAAGTATATGTATGAAAACACAAATGGTGTGACTAATTTGTGTACAACCAGAGATATGAAAAATTGTGTTCTACATATGCATTCTTCTGTCATATATAACAAATTAGAATTTAAAAACAAGATGAAAAAAGTCATAAGTGAAACTGGGATATTTTCTTTAGAATATTTATGTCTAATTTTTTATCTTTTTTAACTTTTTTAGAAATATTTCATTTATGGCCATAGTATATTTTAATTTTGAAAACATCATGGGGCTGGGGATGTGGCTCAAGCGGTAGCATGCTCGCCTGGCATGCGTGGGGCACTGGGTTCAATCCTCAGCACCACATAAAAATAAAGATGTTGTGTCCACCAAAAACTAAAAAATAAATATTAAAAAAAATAGAAAACATCATGGATCCTATAAAGTAGGGAGAACTTATAAGTATCTAACTGTTGGCTTATGCAAAGCTCCTTTTGACATTAGCATATATCTGTTTTTGCTCCTTTTTATTTTTAGCATTTTTTTAGTGATTACTTCTTAATTTATAATATTTGTATAGGTCAGAAAAATGTCAACTTTTATTCTCTAAGAATAAATGTGAAAGGATTGAATTCTTTGGGTATTGTTTTATATGCACATATAACTACATGATTCTCCTTGTAGTTCTTTTTTTTTTCCTTTTGATATTTTTAGTTGTAGATGGACACAATGCTTTTATTTATATATGGAGCTGAGGATCGAACCCAGTGCTTCACATGTGCTAGGCAAGTGCTCTACCATTGAGCTACAACCTTAGCTCTGGAGTTCTGTTCTTGAGATTTTACCAGCATGTCTGTGATTCCTCATATCAACTTTATATAGTTATTTTAAAAATATTCTGTCCTAGTCTGTTGACCAAAAACATAACGCAGAGAAAAATAATTGTAATTACTGTTGTTGAGTCATACATGTTTAAAACAACTAACGTTTTAAGTAGATTATACCCTAATGCATGATGTAAAATTTTGAGTTAACATTTAATCTGGGTTTCTCCATTTACTATCTGTAGGCACTTCATTTCTCTGAGAGCTGCTCTCCTGTGCTTTAAAAACAAAGATGTTAATACTTGCCTAAAAAGTTGTTGTGAGGAATATATGAAAAATGATGCTAATACCATAAAAGCACTCTGTAAATATTTGCTTTTGTCTTTGCAGCTTTTAAAAGTATTGGCTATTCTTTTTCTTTTTTTTAAAAAAAAAAAGGACTGGGGTTATGGCTCAGTGGCAGAATGCTTGCCTCGCAGATATGAGGTACTGGGTTGAATCCTCAGTACCACATCAAAATTGAATAAACAAAATAAAGATATTGTGTCCATGTATAACTAAAAAATATTTTTAAAATACTTTTTTTTTAGTTGCATTGTTTTTGGTAGTTTATTTGTTTATTTTTATGTGATGCTTAGGATTGAACTCAATGCCTTACAAGTGCTATGCAAGCCTTCTGCCACTGAGCTACACACCATCCCTCAGCATTGGCTTTTCTAACCCCAAAGATTCAAACTTAGTTTCTTCATTGAAGAAAGGTCCAGATCCTTCTTTTACCTCTTCTCACTCTTGACTATTCCCCAGACTTTATTCTCTATGTTTCTGCTTTCTTTTTCTGTGTTTAAATTTTATTTAAGTGGGGTGTGTGTGTGTGTGTATTGAACCAAGGGACACTCTTATCACTGAGCTACATCCCAGACCTTAAAAAAGTTTCAAAACATGTTTTTATTAAGTTGCCAGTGTTGGTAACTTGAAATCCACCTGCCTCATCTTCATCCAGCTGGGATTATAGTCACGTGCCACCATGCCTGGCCACTTCTGCATTTTTATTTGTTTTTAAATCCTCTTTCTATGTGTAAATATGTATATGGTAATCATAAAATGGTGTATGTATGTGGGAATTGTTCAGAAGCATAAGTTCACACAGAAGTTCTGAACACAGTTTTCTTATGTTCAGAACCACAGAAGAACCAGTTCTTCAGTGAATTGTTGGCAGATTAGTTTTAGCCGTTTTGAAGATCTTTATAAATAAGTTATCTGTATCTGCACATTTTCCTGGGAACTTTGCCCAAATAATGTAGAAATATTTAGAACTATTCAGAAACCATTGGGGTTGTTGATCTGATTTTGGATAATAAAATCCAGTTTTTTAACACTTGATAGACTCACTGATATTCTTTTTTTTCCTTCACTAAATTTATGGATTTTTATTACATACCAACTTGTATAATAGGCCATGTGCTAATAAGCAGCTCGGGATTTAGTAGTAAACGATACAGCTCTGACATTTCTAGCTGGGTTTTAGGTACCTGTGAAATGTCTTATATTGCAAAGAACAGCTTTTAATTATAAATTGTGTAAGTATTTTCTGGAGAAGAACAATAGTTTTCCTCAGATTCGCAGATCTCATATATATAAATGAGCTGTTTTGTAGCACGGCATTTCAGATAGCTTTAACTTACCAACACAGTGAACCTACTATTAACATGTTTTCTCCACATAAGTCCATTTTGTGCATGTTAAATGTGAAAAGCATAATGTTCTTTTTGCTTCCTTACAAACTCATTAGGGGGCTGTGGGTCTAGCTCAGAGATAGAGTGCTTGCCTAGCATGCTTGAGGCCCTGGATTGGATTCTCCATCAACACCAGTGGGAGGCAGGGGGAAGATACCACTTGTCATGAATATGTATTTGGTACCCAAAATAATGTGAAGTATCATCCCACTTGCCTCAGGTAAGAACACACCTGGAATATAGTATTTATTAATGTAGTGAAGGAGCAAGTCCCTTATGGGAAAAAAATTTTTTAAAAAAGATTTTTGAATGAAATAAAATGCTTAATATAGCAGAAACTTAGGGATACATAACTCTCTTCACATATTTAAAGAATTCATTTGTGGAATGCTTTCTCACAGGCTGAGCCATGATCAGTGGATATATATTAGGGGGATGTAGAACTGTGCTTGATAAGAGCAAAAACACTTACATTGCAGAGACATAATTGTCTTAAGACTGATAAATGCTGTCAAAAGCATTCTCTAAAATTGGAGGTATATATGAAGTGGCGTTTTAAAGAGGGATTAATCTTTTTTAACAAGAAATTTAGAAAGAAACACAAGTGATAGGAAAGAGTAAATAAAGCAAGTGGAATTATGACTTTTTCATTTAATCAGCTATATTTAGATATTTTTCTTAAATTGTGAATTGTATTTTTTACTAGCAAAATGAAAATCCTGCTTCTTTTCCTTAAAGCAATTTCTTTAAAATAATACTGTTACTTTCTTAGAGATCATTTGTTGTTAGAAATCTGCTTCTGACTAGTTTTTAATAGATAAGGAAAATAATCTAGTCTTCAGAATTTTGTTTTTTTTTAAAGCCAGTAGTCAGCCTTTTTAAATGATTGACAGATTTGTAAAAATAATTGAGCACTGCAACTTAAAAATTATATGGAGGCCTGAGGTTGTGGTTCAGCATTAGAGAGCTCTCCTAGCGTGTGTGAGGCCCAGGGTTCAATCCTCAGTACCACATAAAAATAAATAAAACAAAGGTATTTTAATAAATATTTTAAAAATCAAATGGAGTATGTTTATAAAAATGAAAATCCACTAAACTTTACATATTTGATCCTCCACTAAAAATATGTCATAGCATCACTGTAGTTTTATATCTTAGTTAAATAGCAATTTCCATTTTGCTTGTTACAAAATTATTAATGTATATGAGATGGATTGGAAGCAGTTAATTTATATATGCAGAATTTTATTTTACATTGGAAAAGATATGAGATTACAGTAGAATAAAAGTAAAGGTTGTTAAATTTTATTGAGCTATATGAAATTGTCAACATTTTGAACTTTTTTTAACCTGCAAAAATGGCAGTTTTGTATGGTTTAGTCAGGTGTTAATAAAGTTTCAATAACAAAAATATATATTATCTAGCCAGTGTCTTACTTGTTCCAGAAAATATCAAAACAGAATTGTCACAGAAGAAAATATTTGTTATAATTAGTTAATCTCTAATTAGGTCCCCATGAAAGAGGATAAAATATTTTTACGCCAAATAATACATAATAAATGATATTATTCGCCATAATAGTTAAGAGAATTTCTTTATGAGTGAAAAAGAATGTGAATATGACAAAAATATGATAATATTTGTTTAGTAGTGAT